AAACAAGAAATCTTTGTTGTTCGCATTCAAGAAAAATGCCTTTCATGTTTTGGGAAATAAAATTTGCTAAATTTCGACACATCTTTACATAAAACGAACAAATCTGACAGTAAAGTAAAAGTTATCTTAATAACGAACATTTAATTAAAATTATTCTCCTTAACATTTAATCACTTACATATTAAATAGATTATCACTTCTTTTTCAGCATACGCATCACTGCGCATCCAACCGAATTTACTATAAATAACTCAATTCAATTTATCGCGTCAATTATTCGATTAGAAGCTTTAATCAAATATCAAAATATAATTAACCTATTAAAGATACAAAAAAAATTGTTAAAGTTGTTTCAGTAAAAAAAATTTCTATACTGGAATTCCCTATTACATAGAGCGTTGTTCATGCTGCTTTTCGAGGCAGCAATTACTTTAATTGTCGTCAAAAAGGAAATCATACCACAATTGCGTTTCCACGTATCAGACGTCCGTCACTAATTGATAATACCAATTTAACTACGTGATCATATAGTTGCGTTGTTCAATGGAAGATTTTTGTTACACATACAGGATATTTACATATATAGAACAAGCCGCATAGTCCTACGAAACATTTTACATACGAATGTATAATGCATTGTAGCTGTATGCTGAAGAGTCTACCGAAGATAATGATCCAGGCGAGGCGGACATTGATAACGCTGATTACGACTCTAATTACGATGATGATGGTTCCGCATCGCATGACTATTCCGGCGACTACCATACTCCGTTGACTTATGGCGCCAGACCATCAGATTTTCTTGACATTACGTCTACGTCGATACCAATACCCACGTCCCCGGATCCCGGTGCCAATGAAGACATGGTTGAATTGCTGGCAGCCTTGCGCAAGGTGGAAGCGAAGCATGGACAGGACTTCGAGAGGGACATACGAGAGAATCATAAGTAAGGCGCTGGCAATGCATTATATATTATTTTTTTAGAAAATAATATTTTGTAACAAGATAAATTGAGCACATTTTTGTTGATTCTTAATCTGAAAATTCGTGATTTGTTAAAAGAAAAAGGTCGGAATGGATTATTAACAGATTATTAACACACTTACTGTCGTAGTGATTATCGCCTTTTTTAGTAACTCTCGATCGATTTTTTAGTAACTCTCTGCCACTTGATATAAAATTTTGAATCACATAAATGGTTAGATAATAATGTAAAATAAAAAGTATACAAACTCAATCCTACGATATCAATGCTGACAAATTAACAATGAAAAAATAGAAAGAGAATAGACTTTGTTCAAAGTGCGCTAATTCTTAAAAAAAAATCTCTCAATATTTACAGATTAAAATATTATGAAATATATTATGAAATATATTATGAAATATATTATGAAATAATTTTTTCAGTAATCATTTTTCTTATTAGCAAAAAAAAATTTATGGCACTACTATGTACTATGTACATAAAACTCAGTGGACAATGTTAACTATCCACTTTGATTGTATTTTTTATTGCATGTAGAACTATCGAACGAGAGCGCCTTAAAGGAGGACACAAAGGGCAATTGAATCACGAGAAAAAGACGAAAGACGTAAATAGCACCAGACACAAACCTGATGTCATTACTAGAGAAGCTACAAATTTAGAATACATCAAAGAAGGTATTAAATCAAAGCGATCGGTAAATGATGATTTTACGAGAGATGAAAATGGCAAACGACATAATACTAGGAGGATTGTATCCAGAACGCGTTCTTATGCAAACGGTGAGAACAACACAAATGACAATTCTGGGACAAATTCAACATTGTAAGTATTTATACAGCGTATAGTTTATAAATTGAAACGAAAATTACATAAAGTAAAGAACATATCAGAAAAATATTTTTGTACATTTATTATACAAAATAGAAAAGAATTCTTTACAATCAAGACATTACTTTGTTCTCATTTTCAATCTTCGTATCACTGTTGAGTATTCTTTCTTCTGAATTCTCTTTAATTGATAAATCGATCTTTAATTGAATCTTAAATCACAATATCTTGAATTTTTGGAATATCGAAACTTTGACTTTTCCACTGCAATTTCGATTTTTGAAAAATATAGTCAGAGAGATAAATCAAAAGCTTGAACTGCAATATGTGTATGCGAGTGTAGTAAAATGTGAGTTATCTCATTCTAGTTGAGCATTTTTATGAGTGAGGAAATTTTAACAAAAATGATACATAGATAAAATTCAAAATTTCTTTAACAAATATCTTTGATTTTGATCTTAATAAGCCTGATTATGTAAATTCTGCAGTCTAAGTTTTGAAACAAAAATCATAAAATGAAGGATACATCAGAAAAATATTTTAAACATTTTTGTTCAAAATAGAATTCTTTAGAATCAATATCATTCTGCTCTCCTTTTCAATCCTTGCATCACCGTTAATAAGTTGAATTCTTAGAAATAAAACGATCGTTAAGATTACATTAAATTAGACCAATTGAACATTGAGGAAGTAGAACGAGATAGAATGTAACACGGGATAAATAAATTTGATATTTTCAATCAAATTTATTTATTCCGTGTTAAATCAACTGTTTTCTGAGACAGACATCCCCCAAAGAAGTATCACGTCAATACGCTGGAGACGATTCCTTCGGCGCGCCATGATCGCTTAAGCGAGAGGATTACTCAACCTGATAGATATGAAAATGAAAACACGGAAACTGTAAGTGACAGAAGGATCAGCTGGCGAAATCGCGATACCTCAAGAAATAAAACTGAAATTCGACAAGCCGTTCAGGTGGGTAATAATTGTTAGGGGATTACACCGCGTAGATAAAGTCAGTGCACTAAATTCTTCATAATAGTCGAGTGAACAACACATAGCGTTGTAATTAAATTAGAAATACGAAGTGGCTGCAAGGGAAAATCGTCGGAGATTGACTCGAAGACATTTGCGTGCACCACGGCAGGTTTACGCTATCCACTATGGGGCGGACAGCACCCTCTTCTCAACGCAGGACGAGCACACCGGTAACGGCAGGGTACGACACTACGACGGCGTTTTCAGGGCATGGAAGCCGAGTGAGTGGGTTGCCGATCTTGGTATGAGCAGGCACTTCACACTTGCTGGCGATGGCAAACTTAGCGTTCATGAACCAGGCTTGTATCTCGTGTACGCGCAGATCCACTATCTGGACAGACACGACGAGAATGGCTTTCGCATATTGGTGAATGGCAGATCTATATTGCAGTGCATGGTAAGGATTGGAAAACACTAAGGAAGGAATTTTAGTAACTAATGATTGTTAGAAAGGCTCTATATAATGAATATATAAATTCAAATATATAAAAATCGTGGACTAAAAGAATCAAAAAAGTGGATTGATTTTCGCTAATTATTATTCAAAATAAATATGATAAACTACGTTTCAACTTTATGGATCCAAATGTATGTTATAGTCATTTCAAATATAAAAATTGTATGAAAGTATAAAATAGCAAATATAATTTTCAGGTGTATAGCCCAGGTATGGATCACAAAAGCCGCTCGTGTTTCTCAGCCCAAGTGGTTGTTCTTCAAGCAGGCGATCACCTAATCTTGAAGGATATTGGAGCAGCGAGATTCACTCTTTTCCATCATGATAAAAGTTTCTTTGGTTTAGTGAAAATTGGTGAATCGATACAACAACAAAGACATCCATAGACATCAGAAATTTTAAACGCTGTAGAATTATAGCTAAAAAGTGATATGCGATTTATAGTCATCGACTTTTCCTATTTTTAAAAGTTAGCTGTAAATTCGCATAATTTGTACCTAATGTAACATGTGTAATACACTTTTAATATGCGAATCATATTATTTCTTAGTAATTTAGTTTTGTAAACTGCATGATCTTTACCGTAGATTTTATATATTTTGTTATATTACACTTGTGCTATACATTATTTCTGTTTACACAGAAAATCTCTATGAATATTTTTATCTCTATGATTATTCTTTTTTTAAAATATTATACATATGTGTAGATCGATACTATTTGTATAAGAAGAAAATAAAAAAATATATTCTTTTATTTTATATGTATATATATATATATATATATATATATACATACATGTATAATAAAAAGTATAATAATATCAATTTGTAGATTATTAATAATATTTAAATATAAAAATTAAATTTTATTTGTTTTTTGTTTTCAAAATTTCAGAAAAAAATTCGAGGAATTAACGATTTTACAACCAAAAATTCTTTCCTTATAGCCAAATGTTTAAGAAAGTTGAAGGTTTATTTTATGAACCAGGAATCGCTGATTAACAGTAAATAGTTTAATTACTATTCTATTTTTAAAAAATTTGTAAAAAAACTTTTAACACGTTTTTCTCGAAACGTTGTTGTTTTATGCATAATGTTCCTTGTTTCATGGAATGTAAACAAGAATAAATAATGCATTATGCGCATTATGCACTCATAATCTATAAGGTACTACTTACAAAGCAATGTATAACATAGAGAAATCCAAATTAATCCAATCGCTATAACTTTCAAAATTACTATACATTTTTTTCAAAATTATATTGACGACGGAAAGAGAAGACATTTTCTCATAACTTAATCATGATACATACTATTTTGTTCCAATTCACTATAAGAAATAACACGATGACATAAAACAATATAACAATAAAACAATATAACATATTCACCCAATTTGTCGACTGACACAATAATTATATATAAGTAATATAAAATGATATAAAATTATCTATAGTTATATAAAAAATTTACATAGGTATATATAATTATATGTATATAAAACAAGAATTTTGTAAATTACATTCCAATCATTTTCAGAAACTTTTTGTGATTTCTTTCCAAAAAAATGTAAGATTGATGAAAATCAAAATATTATTTTATTAAAAAATTGTTGTCATATTATAAACCTTATAATAATAAATTAGTTTTTAATAGCAATATGTTTCGTTATAAGTTATTTTTTTAATATAGTATTGTATATACTTTTGAACGAGGACTTCCGATTGGGATCAAATCTCCCGGTGTATCCATCAAATCAACGATAAAATTTGGTTTCATAAGCTTGGTTGGGTAAATCGTTGATTGATAATTTCGAGAGAGAGAAATTTTTTCTCTCTCATGTCCGTTCTGATATGTGAAGACATTTGACTTGCCTAATAATTCGGTCATAATTCTTTTTTCATAATCTTCATTATTTTCATCCAAATGAGCATCAAATAATCCTTCTTCATTTGAGTTTTCCATCTGCAAGGTACGCGTATAATTATAAATAACGTAATGTATTAAAAGAATATACTTTAACGCAAGTAATACGTATATTACTTGAGGTATGGCTATTTCAATCCATGAGACACCGTATTCCCCACGTACGAAAGCTGTTGGAAGGCATATTCTATCAGCTATCGCCTTGAAAAGCATAGCTCGCTCGAGATAAGAACCAACACGAAGTTGCCCAAGCGGAATCATGTTCGTTTCTAAACATTTCTTAATTTGCTTCAAATGAACTTCAAGTTGCTGATCGATGTACCTAATTCCCGCTGAATCGACACCAGACATTTGACGCGCCACAAATACAGCTAACATTTTTGCACGCGAGAGAACGTATTGGATATTTCGATCTATATTTCTTTCTGTTGCTGGACTGTGTATTATAAGTTATTTTATATAAGAATTTGTTTGTGTAATCAAATGAGATATGAATTATTTTAAATAAGATTTTTAGAAACTCTACTAACACATCTTTTGATTCCTTTGCTAAGAGCATACGTTTGAAAAGTTCCACATATTCAGAAAAATGTGGATCACATTGCAATCGACCGAAGTTCGATTCGAGCCACGCATTTATGTCTCCTGCAAACAAACACAATTTTTTGAAGTAATACTCTCTCTCTCTCTCTCTCTCTTTCTCTCTTATTAACTCTCTTCATTTTTTATATAAAATCTAAAATTTTATTACTTTCGAAAGTGATCTCGTTCTGTAAAGTGTTCGATGTTGATAATTGCAAATAATTTACCACATAAATGGGCTCTAAGGAACAAAATTTGATTCGGAAAATATCATCCAATATGGGAGATCTAAATAAAATAGTTATGGAAACATTACAAATGGTAATAAAACGATAGTTAATTTATTTGCATAGAAAGAACAATTCTGCTGAAGTATCTAAATATTTAGATACAGATTTAAAAATAATTATATTGAACTATCTAAATAATTATATTGAACGCTTAAACTGATTGATAGAATGTTAAAACTTTTTATAACATTATGCTTGAGTGTTTTATATAACTTGCTAATCAAATATAATTATTAGATATTCGATCTATATTTATATATTAAATTTTTATATATTACAGCAAAATCACTCTGAAAACAATTCTCATTGTCTTATAACATTTCTAAGAATTTTTTGTATTTTTATAAAGATTTCTGAAACAATATACATTAAATCTATTTAGATTTAGGTTAGATTTTCTTTGGAAATTATGGAACAAGAAATCTTAGAAATATTAAAGTATTTAGAATTCATATTTATTTAAGAATTCTAAAAAAAGATATAGATTTTTTTTGTACTTCTAAAGTGTTCTTATAAAAAAACTGAGGAATTTTCTAATAAATTAAAAAACTATACAAAAATTCTAAAAAATTCTGAATTTCTATAAAAATTCTGAAAAAAATTTTTACTAAGACGTTCTTTTTGTATGCTATAACAAAAATTTACATACGGGCATATATTCGTTTTTGAGACATAAAATCCATTCTGAGTAAGATCATGTAAAGGCAAGCGTCCCGTAAGAGCGAATTTAGTCGGTAAATGCGATTTAAGAAGAATCTCAATGCAAGTGTCCCATAAAGGAATCGTTTTTGAAGATAAACGATTATTCAACATGCTATAGAATAAAATTAAATGATCACTATAAGAACTCTATGTAATAATTTCAATTAGCATATTTTGGAGTTTGACATCATCTTTTATGAAAGATCTTAATCTTTCCTCAAAATGTATATAAAATTGCAAAGAAAGCTTATCATAAACTTACTACAAAAGATATTTATTTTCTACGAAGAATTTTGCTACAGTTAAATCTGTAGAAATTGCTTGTATTAACTGTAGCGTAGCGTTTCTTACTGAAACTGAATAAGCATCAGTAATGAAAGTGAATATTCTTTGGAATCCTTTTGCTTTGAGAAAATAATGCCGTCCACTTTCTTCTAAGCATAGTGCAGAAAGTAACTTGCAGCAAGCGATTTTAAATTCATCGACAAATGGATAAGTTGACTAAAAGATTAATATTTCTTAATATTATATTGCAATAAAAATGAAGATGAGAAGAAAACATTTTCTACTAATATTATTGAAAATATGATCTTTAGCTCAGATCTTGAACAATTAGTCAAAATCAGTGTAACAACGTAAAAATATATTAGAAGAGAATACTTTCATATTAATATTTATTTTTTACCTCTAAAAGCAAACAAATTGTGTCAATAGTGTCAAAATTAATCATTGTATCTCTGAAAGTTAGATGTCGTGCCATGGCAAGCAGAACTTCAAGAGCAACAATACAAGTTTCTACAGGAACTTGTTCTATCGAGTGTTTTAACATTTGCCACAGATAATCCTTAAAAAAAGAAGTGATTATTATTTATATATTTATATTTAAGTGTAATTGCGCATGTTATTCAAGTAAGATAAATAAAAAAATCTGTGACGAATTATGCAAAGTATTCTTTCAAGGTATTTTAGATAATTCTTATTAGAAGCTATTCTGAATATTAGTATATTAATAATTGAAAAACATGAACTTATGAAATAGTTACTGGTCCATGAATATTTGAAAAGATATTGCAATTTGTAATATTGCTCATCAATAACTGTTTGATTGCTAAATTTGCGGCGTGTCTTGTAGACCACTGTAAATCTTCTTTTTTCAATAAATCTGAAATAGTATTATGTCTTTAACTTCCTTCTTTGATGTAAAAAAATTTTATCTACGTTTCTTCTTTATATAACCTAAAATAGTTTTAATAGACTCCGTGCTTGCGAGTTCTCTTGCAGCATGATCAAAAAGTGTCATTTTCCCAATTATGTAACAAGTAACTTCAACAATGTCAGATTGTATCGGTTGTCGTAAAGCATCTATTAAACATTCAATAATCTCGTGGGAATATAAAATCTATTAAAAAAGTAACTATAAATCATACAGTTAATTCAATATTTTATTAATTTTAAGAGGAATGTATTGTTTTCTGTGTCTATTTTATACATATTTAATCATAAAATTACTTTTCTTCCCTTGAAGGTATTTGCAACATGTACAAGAATTCTGAGCGCTTCTATAAAAAGTTTCGGATTTTCCATATGCTTTATGTAATATAATATTTGTGGAATACTTCCACTTTCAATAAGTTCATCTACGACAACTGGATTTTCGGCAGCAAAACGTAATATGTTTAGAGCTTTAACGTGCAAATCATTCCACTCGTCATTCTGGCCAACAATTAACATATATAATTATAAAATAATTAAATATATTTAAAATAATTTATTAACAAAAAATATAATTGTTCATATAAAATATATGTACTTTCAAAAAATCTAGTAGCATTTTAACTCCGTTTGTTTCATGAAATAAAGATTGTATATCTTTATCTTTATTCCTGCCGATTAAATCAGCAGTTACGTCTAGCGCAAGATGTTGAATTTCTGGATACGATGATTCAAAGTGTTGATACAGCGCAGAAAAATTAAATTTCTAAAGACAAGAAAAAATTGAATTAAGCGATTTCAAACTTTTTGTTGATACAGTATCTCTAACAAAAATAAAGATCAAATTTAAACGTAAGTCAAATATAAAGAAAAAATAATCGTAAAATAAAATCGTAATTTCATGAAATCTCTGAAAGGCTTAAATTAGAAGTAAAATGCAAAAGAAGTTTCATCTTCAAAAATTTTTCTTTTTTGTTCTAATTTATATATTCTCCAAGAAGTTTTGTTTCCGTTTTCCCTTTACATTTGATACCTAATTATTTACGCTTCAATTTTTATTATCTTCAGAAATATATAACAAACCTTGCTTTTTGAAATTTCATATGCAGCTATAGGATCATGCATTAAATTATGCAAAATCTCGAGATTATGCTTTTTTATATCCGGATCTGGTGATTGAAATCTTTCAAAAAGAATGCTCGCGTTTAAATGATTTGCCAGAAGAGCATTACCGTATGGATCTTCGGATAATTTTGCGAGCACTGCAGAAAGGTATTCCTGCATGAAAATATCTTCCTCTCTCATTAATAGCTTTGTAAAATGGCCAATACAGTTGGATTCAATCAAATCATTTATTACGTCTGGCACTACCGCCATTTCTGTCAATAGTTTCCCAGCAAATCTGTATTACAACAAGTATATGCATGAATAATTACGTTAAATGTATTGAGAAAGTTAGCTGATGTATTTAAAGGATTCTGTTGCTATTTCATCCTGTTTATTATTTTTCTTATATATGACAAGCAAAAGACTTTAAAAAAAAAACAGCATGAGAAAGTAGAAAATTTTTTTAAGAAAAATATGTATATAATATGTATAATAAATTTTTCAAAGTCATATAACATATAATTTACAAATTTTTCAAGTTTTTTAAGTTATAGATAGTGCTTTACCCTGTAAATTTCCGAAAAAACTTATAAAATTTAAAGGAGTTTAAGGTATTTTTTCAGAAATTTTTATAAATAATGTATAAAAAATTCTTAATTTTATGACAATTTTTTTATCATAGTATTACAAATATTATAATAGTATTTAGCACTATATTATAAAGATAAAGTTTTATTTCTACACAAACCTTCGAACAAATATATCTTCGTGCTCGATAATAGGAAGAACATTATTTACAATGCCGAGATCAAAAAGTATCTTTGCATTGTCTTTCGATTTATTAGCATACTTCGACAAAGACTGTATAGCTGTCAATAAAGCAAACTTATTTTCAGATTGTAATAACAATATCGCTGTTTCCGCATCTTTAGCATCAGAAATGGATGAATGGAATGAGTTGATGTATTTGGAGGATTCCGTTGCTCTTTCATCCTGTTTATTATTTTTCTTACATGACAAGCAAAAGATTTTTTAAACAAACTCTTATATCGCTGCAGATCTTTGTACAATAATTAAGAAGATTACAATTGTATAATTGTAATTACCTTTGAATCAGATGTTTGCTGCATATTTATTTGCACATTTGATTATAGTTGTATAATTCTGCTGTGACAATGACTAATTAAATTAAAAGGACTATCGATAAGTACTTAAAAAAATAAATTTTAAATTTTAATACTTTTTACTCTTATTTTTAGTTTCTCTTTATCAGCATTAGAATCCTATACGAAACGAGAAGTGACATTGATATTCGAGTTTCTGATTGGCAATTAGTATTCTGATTGGATATTTCTTTTAAAGTATAGCAATTTGCAAAGAAGCTATTTCGATGAAAATTAGTTCAAGATATAAATTAATGAGAAAAGAAAGATTGAAATTAGAAATTAGAAATTCTGAAATTAGATATAAAGTTTGAAGGCTCTCTATAGTACGCTTTTATTCTATGGATGTAGTACAGACATGAATCATATCCACTTTTGACGATACAATTTTATCGACAATGTCAGAAAATGGATGTAGTCACGTAGTTCCGAAACTGAATGTACTGGCGCTAGTGTACGAGCGATTTCGACGGCAACAGAAAAAAAGCCGGCATGGACTCTTTCGGGCAAAGAGAAACCTGAGAGAAGCCATACCAGTTTTTTTCCTGTTACCATCGAAATCGCCATACACTACCGTCAGTACATCCATTTTTAATTTGAGAATTACGTGACTATATACATTTTCTGACACTATCGATAAAATCGTACCGTCAAAAGTAGATGTGGTTAGGTCTCTGCACTAAATTTTCAGAACAGAAGCATGCCGATTATCCATAGGAGGGATAATTTAATCAATTTAATGGGTCCTTGAACGAAAAAACAGAAAAACAGTAAGAGATAAAAATTGTTTATTTCCTTATAAAATTTTGAGAATTTTTTGAGAATTTTTTAATACTGTATTTTCTTATGGAGATAAAAATAAGAAAATGCAGTACTAAAAAGTTGATAAAAAATTCTAAAAAAATTCTTAAAATTCTATGAGAAGAAAGTAAATGATTTCTGTGCAATTTTTCTGTAAAGTTGATAGTATTTAAGTAAAAAATTATTGAAAATCAATATTTAGCGATTTGTTTAGTGATTAATATCTCGTTAATTATTGCGAAAATCGCAAAATAATAGAAGATTTTGACTTAATTTAGTCAGCTCTGTCTGCTCAAGATGGTGATGCCGAACTTTAAGGATACTTGATATAATGCTGAAACATTCTTCCTCTTTTAGTTGAACTTCACTGATTATTTAAGTATGCCACTGAGTAATTAGTGACTATATTCACTGATTCAGATTTTGAGAGTACAATTTTAAATAATTTTGTTTAAATTTGCGGAAAATAAATTGTTTAAATAACGAGTTGAAATCTCCAATATAATTGGAGATGAGTTACAAACTTGTTTTTATTTCTCTTTAAATAAAGAAGAATATAAAGCAACGATACTTGAGAAGTGTCAAAATCAATGTATTTAAAAAGCTTATAGCTATTATAGGGAGTTTTTGCAATAATGTGGATTCAAATACAGTGAACGCTAAAACTCACGTTATTTTTTTTTTTAATTATTAGAAAGAAGATAACGTGACCTTAGCGTTCACCGTATCTGGATATTGCAAAAACTCCCCCCTATTGTCTTCGTTTTGCAACCGATAGGCCATATACATATATATATATATATATATATATACAAGCAATGCTTGCATGCTCGTGTGAAAAATGCATGCATGTGTATATGTTGTCCTTGTGTATATATTTCTGTGAAATCGTACGTTCAAGCTATGGAGTCGTAACGATATAATAATTTTACTTTAAATACGAAGCGCCACTACGATTTGAATGTTGAGATGTTGAACTATTACATATATTTATTAATGAATTAATTTCAAAAATGATAATTGCGTGCCGATATGATTGTTGAACTTTCAACTCACTCAATCTGAAATATTAATAAACCCCCCAAAATTTCCCAAATTAATCTTGAAAAACTGTAATAAACTTATTGCAAAAAATATTGCCTCGGCTGGGACTCCGGGAGTCGAACCCGGATCTCTTACATTCTGTGCGAATATGTATCATAATATTATTTCATATAATATTATTATAATATTGTATGAAATAATATAAACAATTGTACAATATAAACAATTAATATGCCAGTGATCAAGAAACATGAGTAGAATTATGAAAGTACTGCAAAATATAAAAAGTATAAAGATTAAAAAATTTACACGTTAAAAATGAGAAAACACGAAGGAAAATAAATGGAAAATTTTTTTGTTTGTTGATTAATAAATTAAAGATAAAGAAGACTGTTTATCATGCTAATCATTCGCTTTATTTTCTTACATTTTAAAATTTAGAACATTAGTCCCTTTAATGTACTTTAATCCATTAAAACATAAATTTGTAAAATATGTATAAATTTTGTAGTTTCGATTTTAATAATAACAACACAATGACGCATAAATGATAATACTGCTAGTGGTCAAACTTTATCTTAATTGATTTTTTACAATGTTTCGGTTCCCTCAAAAGGAAGGGATATCCTCAAGTGGGGATAGACTTATAAATATATCGTTGAAAACGTGCTTCATAATTCATAGAGAATGTAGAATAATTTCACAATTCACAGAGAGCGCAGTTCCGAATGTAAGTAAAACATTTCTTATTTTATACACATTTTAAATTCATTTTGACAATTTAATTTGAAAAATTGTAAGGACCATTTAAAGAATTACTTGTCAGTATCAACTACTTTAGGTAGCAATTTTGGTGTCTATTACAATTTGACCAAATATGAAACGTTGATACTTACATAATAACGCTACTAGCTACTTAGTCTATTGGTTGTTAAATATGATTATATAATTACGTTTCGGCTACTTTAGATTCGCTTTCAATTAATCAAGTAATTATAATATTTTGTTGTGGAATTTTTATTTGTGGAAGTGTCAAAAAATATTCATTGTAACTATTCATCAATTCGGAATTTGAAAACCATTATAGAAAAGAAAATTAATCAAAATAATATTGTTTTATGTCAAAATAATTATTTCAAGCCAAAGATCAAACATTTTTACATTCAAAATTTCTTTAAACATTTATGTTATTTATCTCATTTTCAATTGTCAGTAAAAACTGCAACGTAATAAAATAATCAGAGAGAAAGGAACAATAAAAAGAATAAAAATAGTATTCAGATATAAGTAGATTAATAACGAAAACTGTGTTTCCCCTCCCTCTCCAAATTTGACGTTAAAATTCTTACAGTCACGGACATTAGGTTTTTAATTCTAGCAATAAATTTTGGAACACAATCAAAATTCTAATGCAATGTATTACATTGTTATCGGCTACTTGCTTAAGAAATTGATTTACGTTCTGTCGATAAAATTACATTAGATTTTAATAGCTTAATTTTAAATTCCTGACTTCAATTTTATAAATTTATTTCTTTTATTATAAATGTAATCAGTAAATCGAAGTATGATAAATAGCAAAAAAGAAAAAAGTTTTTAAGGACAAAAACTTTATGTCAATTTCATTCATAATTAACAATATTGTATGCAGATATGCATATATATGTATATTCACATTAAATTGCTATATTATTACTATTATTCATGTTCTAGCGATACAAATTTTTTTTTTAATGTGTAAGTTTTATAATTCTTGAAAGTTACATGAAGTTGTTTTATTTTATTTTATAATTAAAAAAATTTTTTTATAGATTCAATGTTTAACATCCGGATTAGGACCTTCACTTTTAACGAATTTTTAAGAGACACACTTACTTATTCAAATAAAATCACGTACATAAATTACACCGTCTGCAATGAAAATCATAAGCAGTGAGGCCGATTCATTCATTGAAGAGAATTTATTGAATGATGAATGTGCGATAAATAACGTCATACCCAAAATAAAAATTAGAGAAGATAAAGATAGCGAATTCTCGAGCAACATTGATTCTTCTCTCGACAATTCTAACGAATGGAATAATTTATTGAACAGTTTCAACGAGCGCAAAGCATTCGTAACAAAATGTAAACAAGAATTTGACAACAGCAAATTACCAGAACACTTCGATCAGTGGACAATTAAACAGCAGTACGATCATCTAATAAGCAATATCAGCAAATATTTCCCAAACATACCCGAATCTTTGAAGTTCATATTGCCGGCGATGTTCGAAAATGGAGATTTTAGTGAACGAAGAGGAAATACGAAACCGGATTGGTTAATAATGGATAAATTTTATCGCGGACAGCGCTTTGCCGAACGTTATTTCAGCGTAATTCTTATGAGTCATATGATGGGTCTAATCCAGATATTTAGTTTCTCTGACGGAATCAAACCGCTGATCCTCAGTCAAGAGTCAAACACTCCGTACAGCGCCTTTGTGCGATACCTCAGGACGGCCAAGAGCTTCAGAAACTGGTACACGAGCGATCCTTGGTGCCAAGGTACACCAGCCTATCGCGATATCCAGAGAGTGCGAAAATTACACAGCGCCATGAGATCGAAATTGTGCAAGAAAAGCTTTGAGGAGATTGACCGAGACAGTAAGATTCAAAATGTATGGTGTCCTATTTTGAGAAAAGTCACGAAAGACTTCGCAGACACGTGCCCGATGGCGAAGAGCCAGCATTGTCCTTATACGATGACAAGAACAACAAGTCTGAACCAAGGTGACATGGTGGGCGTGATGTTCAGTTGCATGAGTTTGGTAGTGCTTTATCCGGAACAGTTCGGAATATATGCTAGCAACGAAGATTTGGAGGCTTTTTGCCATCTCTGGCGCGGTTTGGGCTATCTGCTGGGCATGAAAGATCAGTATAACTTCTGTCGCGGTAATTTACAGGAAGTACGCCAACGAACTAAAGATTTCATCGAGTACTGGGTAAAACCGAATTTCCGCGAGGTAACACCAGAATGGGAGCACATGGTCATGTGTATTTTTGAAGGCGTAGCTTATATGGATCTTCCATCCAATTACAAAGTATTTATGCTTCATCTCAGTGATATACTTGAACTCAATATGCCTCGCCTGTACGGGTCTTTTAGTCTACTGGAGAAAATACTTTATGCGTTGCAGAAATTTATGTTCTCTTACATGATGAAACTACCTGGTGTCATCTCTATCGTAAATAAGGTGATAAACGCGTGTCTAGATCGAGCAGCAGCTTTTAAAGGCATCAAACATGCCGAGCTTAAGAAAAAGTCATCCAAAATGTTTTAAGAGTTTATACCGCTTAAATTCGACAATAGAATCTTATAATTAATATAATTTCTTTGCTTTCATAGCTTTATATAGTAAATTCTGATAATCGTATAAATTGTGATAAAAGTTTAAACAAGCTGAAAAAGAAATAGATTTAGCTCCAAAAATAAATTAAAAGAATGTTATACATAAAGGACTCTCAAAATTAAAAAGTAAAGAAAACATTTCGGGCAAATCAGAATCATGCACAATAATTGGAATGCAAATTAATTATTTAATATATTCTTCTTATGTTAGTCAGTCTATGAGCCAAACGTTCAGACTTTGTGACTTGTGAACTGTTGTATATTCAACTTCACGTTATCTTTTATTTTATGACTATCGTTAAAATGTTTCATTATGTCTATGGTCTAAGTTTTTCTATTATTATATGTAATTATTATATGTAATTATTTTTATTTATTATTTTCATTAACACGCAATTAGCCACGGTTATTTTTATTATAACTTTTAATTCCTTTTGAATTTAAGATATTTAGTTTTGCAGTATGAATTAGCAAATAACAAGAGTAATGAGAGTTAATACGGATAATCAAATGCAAGTTTTGTAAATTAAAAAAATCTATAAAACTTGTGCTTGATTATCCGCGCTAACTTTCATTAGTCTTGTCGTTTATTAGTTATTTTTGTATTTTAAATATATAAGCAATATTTTTAAATATATAAGCAATATTTTTAAATATATAAGCAATATTTTTAAAAAATATAAGAATTCGCAATTTGTGAGCAAGTTACCCTCCCGAATATTCAGTTTATCTTTATACACTGAAAAAAAAAATTTGTTCAACTAATTACACACATTTAGTTGTTTGCAGATTTGATTAATTTAACAAATTTTATTTAATTGAATTTAATCGTAGTCTGCTTAACAATGAACAGTTCGTTAAGCAGACTACAGTTAAATTCGATTAAATAAAATTTGATAAAATAATCAAATCTGCAAACAACTAAATGTGTTTAGTTCGTTAAGCAAATTTTTTTTCTCAGTGTCCCTTTTAAAAACTTAAATTGATGTTACACACCAATCTACTTCGTATACTCTTAGATACTCTTCTTTCTTCTGGCCAAATTTAACTCACCTTTCGTTGCTTCTGGCCAATATTCTGGCTTCATATGCCAGAAATCGACAAGGAGAAATACTCCTTTTTGCTGCCGACTGCTGCCGACTAATATTGCCGGCAATAAGCGTAAGATTTTATGCTTATGTACGATACACGAAACACGAACGCGTCGCGAAGGGACCATCATGTCAATGAATTTGACTAAATTGTAATATGAATAATTATCAATAATAATAATAATTCCATTAATATACAACGAAGAAATATCGCGTTTATTCTAAATTAAAAATATAAATATTCAACTAAAATTAATCTGAATTTTAAAAATCTTTATGTCAATAATGTTTTTATTTTAAAAGTTTCGAATATTAAATTAGATTAAATTTTTTAATATAAACATTATTATATAAAAAAGAATACAACTTTAATTTAAAAATAAACTGAAAATGACTAAACCGATTATTATCCGATAAAATGCAAGGCTCATATACGTATTTTTAACGATTCGAACGATTCATTGCTAAATTTCATCTCAAAGCATGCGGAGATGAGAAATCAGATGATGTAAGATTCAAAAGGAATAATTTTCCCTTATATCAATAAATATATTTCTTTGCATTTTGTAAATTATTCGAATCATTTTTGTATAATTTATTATTTTAATACTAAATATTTTAATTTAACAAAACTCTGAACGCAATTTTAAAATAATTATGAGATAAAATTCTTCTATTTCTTGGCTTATTTTGAATCTTACATCATGTTACTACTTTAACTGATATAAAATCCAGTTACTACATATGGATAAATTATAAAAGATTAGGCTAAAGTCAGTGCATTAAAATAAACAATAATAATTAATAATCATAAAATGTCTTTTATGGAAAAGAGATCAATAAATTATATGCGTTACATTAAAATTTTTGTCGTTATTTTATCAGTAACATGTATACAAATAAGTGTAAAACAATAGAAAAATTTTTTTTTAAAACAGTACACATTATATATACATGTGTATGTAGATATTGCTTTTCAACAACTTGTATGAAACTTAATCCTGAATGAATATTTGGGAATAGGATAGATAGGAAAATTAATAAAGCAATATTTGTTTGTTACACTGTAACAAACGCTTTTCCATGTATTATGATATTCATTTAGATAACAATTTCATTCATTCTAATTATTATTTTATATAAACTTTTAATATTTTTTAATTTTACGTATTTAAATATTTAAAAAATAAATATATTTTTTTTTATTTATATTTCCAAGTGTGTCAAGATGTATATATATATATATATATATATATAAGTTACACTTTAATATTGTAAAAATACGATCATCGAAACAATCTATTATTTATTATATTTTTGAACTTGAATTATCAAACCGAGCTTGAGTTACTTCATATCAAAGCATTCACATTAACGTATAAATTTACAATTAGTAAAATTTGAGCTAAATTGAATAATCTTCCTGAGTTAAATAGTTTTACTTTATTCTTATAGTAAATTAACGAGATATTGTATAAAAGCAGTGACGAAATTTCTAATTATTCCCATGTCGCTACTGTTCTTGCACAATATTTCGTTAATTTAACTATAAAAATAAAGTAAAACTATTTAACTCAGGAAGATTATTCAATTTAGCTCAAATTTTGTTTTAAATTGTAAATTCATACATAAAATTCATTTGTTTGTTTTTATTTTAAATTATAAATTTATACGTAAAATTCATTAATCTATTTTGTAGACTCAAACTGGATGTAACGTGACATTATAAATTTAACAGTGCATGCACAATATATTCAATAATAAGAAGGCATTCAGGATTAAGTTTATCCTAATCTGTTCTAATTTATTCATTTTAAGACAATGAATGTATGGAATGCTATACATATATTTATCCATATATTTTTATTAAATTAATGCATATATGTATTTATAGATATATAATACAATATATTAATAAAATTACCACACATTCATTACCTCAATAAAAACATGAATTCATCACTCACCAACCCGACGCGCAACAGCGGAGTTACATCTGCAACGTCGCTTCGATGATTCTGTAATAAAAGAATATAAAATTCAAATTATAACAAATCAGGAAGAACACCAACAATATTTAAAAAAAACCCAAAGTTCTCTTAAAATAATCATATAATTTTCAAAATATATTAGGTGTTGGAATTAATTCGTAGCGTTTTTAATGAAAGAATGTTATTTATTTCACATGAGCATTAAAAAATACATTAATGAAAGTACTTCCCATCACTTGTAAAACGCTACGAATTAATTCCAACACCTAATATAATTTTTAAAAGCATCGAATTTTTTAATTTATCATTGAGTTAGCTATTTATAAAATAATTATACATTTTTAAACAGATCTTTTAAAAATTCGTATATATGAAATTTCAAAATAATTTTTAAATAATTCTTTTTTTAATTATCATTTTTAAATCATTGTAAAATAAAACAACTCAAGAAGAAATAGAAGAAAGATATTGATTTTATAAGCAAAAAATATTTACCGCAAGGTTGCTCCGCCGGTGCCCGATGTCTCTCCCAGACCTCTTCCTCCTCTCAGAATCGGGTTGATATCCTCTCGCACAGGACACTCGCGTAAAACACTCGCAAATAATACAGATTATAACTTGAGTCCGATAACTTGAACGGCACTCCCGAAACAAACGCGCGGTTCGTTCACTTTCAATTAAATCGGCGGACGAGGATACGTTAGCTTCTGCCGTTGGATTTTTACATGAAGAGAAAGATTTTACTCAATATCTAAAAATTTATCTAGATATATCATTCAGATAGATTCGAAAATTTTTAGATACTTAAGAAAAATCATTCTTTTCATGTATATCCTCCGAGTACTGAGCTCTCCCACCACGTCAAGATCATACCCGTGAGAGGGAAGATATCATCTGAAAAATGTAATATACAAGAGCTGAATCTCTTATTATAATGTCTGTAAGATACGATTAAAGTCAATAGGATGAATTAGAGATTAATAGAAAAGAAAAATATTTCTTTTATTACCGACAAATAGTTGTATAGTTATATTTTTTATATGGATTGTATAACGAAAGATGCACAAAAACAAAAAATTAATTAAATTATTAATTACATAAACTATATATATTAATTGTGAAAGCAGGAATTGCGTTTATTTGCATGAGAGTATTTGTATTAATGTAGCTTCTTTATAACTCGCGTAATACTGTTAGAATAATCGAATTATACTCAAGTGAGACAAAAATGTCACATTAAACAAAAAGAATTGTCGTTCGTAATTATCGTGAAACAGTAATAAATTCTATTTTTCCATCGCGTTTTGGTTCCAAATGAATGAACCGTACGAAATATCTATTCCGTGATATATGATTGTCATCTCGATTCTTTTATGAATAATTATTCGTAGAAGCTTGTGTAATCATATACTTTTAATTAGTATTCAGTAAAATACAATATTTCATATTATTTAGCATTTGTCGCGATTACGTTTGAAAAAGAAATATGAAGAAGAGCGGCACACGACACGGCTACCTGCCTGTACGAGCTTCGGTAATGGAATGTCTGCATATGATAACTTCGCATGAACGTGACGCGCTGTCCGCCCTTCCGCGCCAAAACAATCCTCAAGGTTGCGCGCCGATCATCTAACTGTCGAAATATTAACGCATTACAAAATTAATAAAATAATCTAGTCGTTACATTTTTAAAATTCGATGAATAGACTTTATTACACGATCTTTGCTTTATTTCTTGGATTCACACAACTCATCTATATCTTATAATAAATATTTCAAGTTGTGTTACAATTATAAGCGATTTATAACTTTTTGTTACACGAAATAAGCGCAATATAATATTTTTAACAAAAGATTGACGTATTTTACCTTTTTGTGACTCTTGAATCGTAATCCGATAATTCAATAAATCTGAATTTATAGATCGTACGCTTTCGATTCGAAAATAGAGAGTGATATGCAAAATCATCGACGTACTATCATTCACGACCATTAAAAAGTACCGGTCTAAACGTGAAAATTCGTAATTTCTAAACTATCATATATTTCGATGCATATTTAAAGCGTGTGATAGTATAACTATATGTCTTCAACAAACGACAGTCCCTCGACATGTTCACGAGTCACAAATTATGAGCATTGATCAATTCGCGTTCGTAAATACTTAATTTTCGTGGATTAATGCGACACGCAGAACGTCGTATTACGTGTATCTCGCTCCGAGGTCGCCGAGCGAATGCCGAAATGATGAC